CTCTTTCTTCCTTTTCTCTCTCTCTCTCTTTCTCTCTTTTCTCTCTTCTCTCTTTCTCTCTCTTTCTTTCTCTCCTTCTCTCTTTTCTCTCTGTCTCTCTCTTCTCTCTTTCTCTCTTCTCTCTCTCTCTTCTCTCTTTTCTCTCTTCTCTCTCTCTTTCTCTCGTTTTCTCTCTCTTTCTCTCTCTCTCTCTCTCTTCTCTCTTTTCTCTCTGTCTCTCTCTTCTCTCTTTCTCTCTCTTCTCTCTTTCTCTCATATATGTCACTTCACTGATGGCAAGATGATCAAATTTTAAAGCTAATATTTTTCACTTAAAATAGTACATTTATTAGAAAATATGTTCAGTTTAAATAGAGATGTCATAAAAATGACTTCAAAGGGCCCGCACATTTCAGGGTTTATGCTCTCCTCTTGTTAACCAGGGATTGACACAGATGTCCATTAATTTAGCAATGACAAACCTAAAAATACTTCTATAAAATTAAAAAAAAAAAAAATTCTATTCATTACAGAATAATTTCCAAAAAGTTTGATAAAATCTTATAATTATCTGACTTTATGAAGGTTTAAAATTTAACATTTTCTTTTTGCTTTTGTTGCTAACTTAGATATTTTTTTTCACAGCCCAGGATAGGGGTTGTCTAGACAGAGCAGGAGGATAATACATTATTCCAATGTCTTATTTCAAACTCTATCAAATTGTTCATGTGCTTTTTTTATATGTAAAGTGACATAATCACATTTAAATCTCTTGCACACACTTCGGATATATGCATTATTACTTGTATGTATGCAAAGTCAGGTGCATGCAGTGTGTAGGACAGAAAAACAGTTCTTATGTTGGCGGGTCTGATTGTTAAAATATTTACAGATAATTATGCATTAGAACTTCTTCAAGCCATGACATTTGTCAGAATTTTTTAATTATTTACTGATTTTTCAGTAGTGATGTCCTGTTCATAATATAAATAAAAATCGATCCCATGACTTGTTACAGTTAACTGTACTTTTGTTTTTATTCTTAAAAATATCGGCTTGCAGCTATATCGTGTTGAAACACCAGTTCTCCTCCAATCACCGAAGTTAAGCAATATTGAACCTTGTCTGTACCTAGATGATGACCATTTGGGAATACCCCATGCTATAATCTTGACAGTGAAAGTGGTGTAATGGATAAAGGCTCGGAATGAGAAATCTGAAAGCCAAGTTCAATTTCCAGTCGAGTTTGTTATATTCACTTATGTGCAAATACTTTTGCGAAATGTGAATCCACCTCTTCTACTCCCAGCTATGGGTTAAATAGTAAGATTTGTATCAGAAAATCATTATCTCCCCAAAAATTTTAAAAATAAAAAAAGATGTGTGTTGACTTTAAATAAACTCAAAAAGGGTCGACAAGCTGTAAAAAAAAAAAAAAAAATCAATCAAAAAAATATTTGAAACTTTATATGACTTGAATAATTGTATGCAATTACAAATTTAGAAAGAGGACATAAGTAGCAAGCAATTATCACTGACATAAGCATTTTTATACATTGGTAAATAAAAACAAAGTACAGATAACTCTTTAAGATGTTAAGGTTTGACATGACACTGTATTTCAGAATCTGTCTATATTTCTGAGATGATATCATATGTACACTATTTACATTATTTGAACTATTGCCCTCATCTTTGTGGCCATATTTATTACAACGTTTCAGCCTTCTTCAGGTGGTTGGAATGTAACAGGACCCAAAGAGCGTGAGTTCAATACCCGGTTAAGGCAGTGGAGAACTTGGAGAGGAGAATTAACAGAAGATAACTGATTATTGACATCCATTAGACATGGCACAGGAAACTAGAACCGTCTACCCCACCCAGCGAAATAAATGGTTCAGTTCAACATTCCAACCACCTGAAGAAGGCCGGAGTGTACAATGGCCGAAACATTGTAATAAATATGGTGACAAAGATGAGGACAATAGTTTAAATAATGTAAATAGTGGACACTGTATTTATATTATGAACAATACCTACTTCTAAAATGATAGAAAAGTACATTTTTTTTTTTTTTTATTATTCTGACATTGCGTATAGAGTAAAGTTTAATAAATGCTAACCTACAAAAATTATTGCCAGAAAAAAAAATTTCCCATTTCTTTTTTAACAGTCAGAACAGTCAATTTAGTTAGTTCCAGTTCTTTATACTATAAGTAATAATGTTATAATAGTAAAACTAAATGTCACTTTCACAACATAGTCTGTTTTATATATTGTTACCTTGTTTTTCTGAGTGGCATACATGTCAGATTTAGATATTTTCCTCAGTCAGGTCAAAGGCACCAAATTCTACTGACACTATTTGGAAAGGACAAAATCCACTTTGCATGCTTTACAAAAGGCCATACTATATCTAATAATAAAGTTTCGGTTTTTACATTAACCTAGATTTTCAATTTCCTCTCATTCAAACAATGTTTATTCTCTCTCTCTCTTTCTCATAACACATGAGAGTTAAGGTCTATTTCTAAAGTGCCGTGTCCTTTTCAGGACAAAATTAATTATAGCTCTCCACAGTTTCCCCCTTTTTTTTTTCTTTTTTTTTTTAATATCTGGAAATTGGGTTATTATAATTATTCTTGGTGTGGATAGTAGAATATTTTATGAACGAGAACACTGTCAGTTGGTTGCTCCCACTTGATGGGAGATACCATGTTTTTATATCTTAGGGATACTATTTTTTTATTTAAATTTTTATTTATTTTTACTTTTTAAATTTTTATTTATTTTTACTTTTTAAATTTTTATTTATTTTTACTTTTTAAATTTTTATTTATTTTTACTTTTTAAATTTTTATTTATTTTTACTTTTTAAATTTTTATTTATTTTTACTTTTTAAATTTTATTTATTTTTTACTTTTTTAAATTTTTATTTATTTTTACTTTTAAATTTTTTTAATTTTTAAATTTTTATTTTTTTACTTTTTAAATTTTTATTTATTTTTTTTTAAATTTTTATTTACTTTTTAAATTTTATTTACTTTTTAAATTTTTTTACTTTTTAAAAATTTTTTTACTTTTTTAAATTTTTTTTACTTTTTAAAAATTTTTTTATTTTTTTTAAAATTTTTTTAAATTTTTTTTTTTTTTTTAAAATTTTTTTTTACTTTTTAAATTTTTTTACTTTTTTAAAATATTTTTTACTTTTTTAAAATTTTTTTATTTTTTTAAAAATTTTTTTACTTTTTTAAAATTTTTTTTACTTTTTTAAAATTTTTTTTACTTTTTTAAAATGTTTATTTTTTTTTTAAAAATGTTTATTTACTTTTTTAAAAATTTTTATTTATAATTGATAAGGATGACAATTATGTAATCACAATTGTAAAGTCCTTTATTAAGAAGGGACCTTAAGATGATGTGGAATTTTATAAGAATACCCCCCCCCCCTTCCACTGGTTATCTTGGTGATTGTTATGTGAATATAGAATTAGTGTGACTCAGAATGAGAAGTTAGTGAACAGTTCAAGTTCAGGTCAACATTGTTGTACAAATACTCTTGGGAAAAGTATGAAATTCATCTCTTCTCCCACAAGCTATGGATTAAATAGCGGGGCAGACAAGTTCAAAACATCAGCCACCTGAAACTGCAAAAAGATGGTTAAGACATGGGGTGCAGGTACTATGCCTATAAAACAAAAAATGTTAATGATTCAAACTGTATAGCATTTATCCAGAAAGCTGTTGATACCAACAGCCATTGGCCCCAAGAAGATAGATGGCTGGTTGAAGAAAAAGGTATTGCTGGATCTTGATAGTCTCTTGTGCTATTTATATGTACAGTCAACAGATCAATAATTCATTAATGACAGGATATTTTTATGCTATCCTCTTTAGATCAGTCAATATATTAAGTTAGCCTTAGAATGAATGGCAGCAAGCAAAGCAATTAGAAATGTTTGCCTTTTGTATAATATGTCTACTTTCACTTTGAATATGTTTATAGATGTGACTGTTTCTGTGGATAAATATTTATAAGGGCATTGTGATCTTGCAAAGTTAAGTCTACATGATTCCTTGTACAAATTAGGTTTACCATGTGTTAGATTAGGAAGAAAAGCACTAATATTTAAGGAAAATAAAGGGTGAAGATTTTTTTTGACAAAGGGGAATTTTGTTTCTGGCATTAGAAGAGCTCTTCCTATGAGTGTGTTGAAAACTTCTAACCAAGAAATGATAAAGAATTTTGATGTAGATGGTGTCAAAACGCACCTCTCGTATTACAGGCTGTAAAGCTGCTTCTCCATCTTCAATATAACAAAATAATGAAAATAAATTTTTTTTCCAGGTTTACTTTTTAAGAATTTCATTGGAGGTGTGTGGGGGGACTTGGTATTTTTAAGATGTTTTTTTTTTTTTGACATTGTTTTTTGCTATGTATTTTGTTTTGTTTTTTTTTGTTTTTAGTTTGTTTTAGTTTTTTTTTAGTTTGTTTTAGGTTTTTTTTTAGTTTGTTTTAGGTTTTTTTTTAGTTTGTTTTTTGTTTTTTTTTAGTTTGTTTTAGGTTTTTTTTTTTTGTTTTTTTTTTTTTTTTTTATTTATTTAGGTTTTTGTTTTTTTTTTTAGGTTTTTGGTTTTTTTTTGTTTTTTTTAGGGTTTTTTTAGGTTTTTGTTTTTTTTTTTTTTTTTTTTTTTTTTTTAGGTTTTTGTTTTGGGGATTTGTAATTGTTTAATTTTTATGTTGTAATTGTTGTTTTGACATTTTGTTCTTGTTTTGTCTTCATGGTTCTTGAATGCTAATCTTCAAAATGACACGTGAACTTGAAAAAAAAAAAAAAATTAAAAACTTCATTCAACTTTCTCCCAAATAATATTAAATTTGTTCAGCATTTGAATCTCGTTTAATCCAGCCCATATTTTAACCTGGTAATAATTTGAGAATTTCAATTGTAATCATAAGATTCTGTTCTCCAATGTCCAATTCCAAGCTGTTATATTTTGCACCACCTGCACATCCAAGCTTACAGCACCTGCTATTCCCAAGTAGCCACCCATCTTGGTACTGGCCAGACTCAACATTGCTTAACTTCAGTGATTATACAAGAACTGATGTTTCAACATGTCTGTAAGACCCTTTATTGTGTATGCATGAACACTCTCCTGTGAGGTTACTCAATCAGCATTGAAATGTTAAGTGTGGCAGTGACATTCACAATTTCACAATGACAAAGTGAGTAGACTGTTTTGCTTCAGGGTTTAATTATTGGTAAAACATTGCACCACCCCTGTTTCTTTGGCTGCTAGATACATCTGGCTTTTCTTAAATCTAAAATTGATATGAAATGTTGAAAATCAGGAGGAAAGTGGTTGCTAATGATTTTACTATAGGAATGCATTGAAAATGAGGAAGAAAGGGATTGTCATTGGTCAAGAATGAATGCAAGCATTACTGATAGAATAGGGCTATTATATGTATAATGTAAATGCATTGCTAATGATTTTACTATAGGAATGCATTGAAAATGAGGAAGAAAGGGATTGTCAGTGGTCAAGAATGAATGCAAGCATTACTGATAGAATAGGGCTATTATATGTATAATGTAAATGCATTGCTAATGATTTTACTATAGATGCATTAAAAATGAATGCATTGAAAATGATTACTGATAGAAGAATATGTATAATGTAAATTGGATTGTTTACTATAGGAATGCATTGAAAATGGTTGTCAAGAATGAATGCAAGCATTACTGATAGAATAGGGCTATTATATGTATAATGTAAATGCATTGCTAATGATTTTACTATAGGAATGGATTGAAAATGAGGAAGAAAGGGATTGTCAGTGGTCAGGAATGAATGCAAGCATTATTAATAGAATGCGGTTATTATATGTATAATGGAAATGCATTGGTAATAATTTTATTATAGGAATGCATTAAAAATGAGAAAGAAAGGATTGTCGGTGGTCAGGAATGAATGCAAGCATTACCAATAGAATAACGCTATTATATGTATAATAGAAATGCATTGCTAATGCTTAACTATAGGAATGAATGCATTGAAAATCAGGAAGAAAGGGATTTTCACTGGTCAGGAATGAATGCAAGCATTACTGATAGAATATGGCTATTATATGTAGAATGTAAATGCATTGCTAATGATTTTCCTTGCGATGTATTGAAAATTATGAATTGATGGCAAAATTTCTGCAATAATATTGATTGCCAATATAGAAGACTTACAGTGAATGTAGTGACATTCTTCTTCCAATATTAGGGCAGTCAAAAACCAACAAAAAAACATTTTATAGGTTTTATTTCTTTTACAGATGAATCAAGACAGAAAATGAATTCAAAAGAAATAAATCAAAGCAAAAAATATTATCAAAAGGAAATGGTTATCAGCAAGCTCAGTCCTTAAAAGTGCTCCATATATGATGGCCTTGTACTAAACTACCCCCCACCCAAACAAAATAAAACCCAAAAATCATGAAATATCCTTTGGAGCAGAATAATTAGAATAGGCATTCTTGGTTTTCCAACCTCTGACAGATGACACTTGAGTAAGGCCGCAGAGGGCAAGAAGGTTGGCATCAAAATGTCAATGTAAATAATAGTTTAAATGATTTATAGGAGGCTCATGAGTTTCAAACAATAATAAAAAGAATATGGATACCTTTGAAAATAGTTGAGTCATGTCAGGAAGTTACAGGAGAAACACATGTGCAATTTGAAAACATTTTTTGTAACAGGAAACAAATAAATAAATTTCTGTACATCCGGTTTTTTTTTTTTTTTTTTTTTTGCAAGTTCAAAAGGAAGTGATGTAATTTTCTCTTTGTTTTCTGTAAATTAAACAAGTTATCGGCATGGTATTCAAAAGAATCTGTTTACAATGATGCCTTCTTAAAAGGTTATGTGAACCATCACAAACACAAGCCCCAAACTGTCATAATAGAATTTATTGTTGCAACAAAATGTCTGACCATTTTGTGTTTGGTACACAATCTCCAAACTAACAAGAATGATTATTGTCCCTAGTGGTAAATCATTATCCATTTTCAGGAGGTTCATTATTAATACTTACTAAGTTTGTGTTCTCAGTTATATTTTGTGGAACTAGTACTAGTAGAAATTCTAAATTGAGATTGAAAAAATGTCATTGTGATTCAATGATGGGACATTCACTGATTTGTTGTCAAATAGGGTAAGGTTGTGGCTTGTCTTAAATTGTTTAATATAAAGACCTTCTATAATCTCTCAACAATTAAATTTGTTTAACATAGTGGTGTTATCAACAAGAATGTCTCTAATGTGGGCAGGCAGTTGTGTGTGGGTGACCAAATGCTTTTTATGGCAGTGTGGTCACTTAAGTGATTTGTAAGCTCATGTCATCATTCCATCATTCTGTTTATTATAAGACAAGACTGGACAGTAAAATTGATAGACATTGGTGCTTGTTGAAATTTTAGATTTTTAGATGCCACTGTAGTCTATTATTTTCAGTTTATTAACAATGTAAAGGGATTGGCTGGAAGTACTTGAGACAGTAATCATTAATACGGACAGTTTGCACTCTTAGCCCCTGAAAAAGGAAAACTGTAAAAAATTAAAAAA